TATATATATATATATATATATATATATATATATATATATATACTCATTCCCCTGCATCCACACTTCCAAGCAGTTTAATGAAATGTAATATTCGACTGAAGACTTTCAGATTTTATGTAGCAGAAATAAAATAATGAATGGGCTAAAAGTTCATTTATATGAATACTTTACACTACCTCCAGAACGCTTCCTCTTCAATAAAGACATGCATGCATAACTTGATGAGGCAGACTGAAGTTGCAACAAATCTGGACAAGGACCATCAGGACCCTTTGACATGAGACGGTACTTTCCCCGAGCACGCTTCTGTGGCCTGCGAGATGTTCTTGCTACATCATTGCTTTCATGCTCGCTGTCACTGCCTTCCTACCAATTTACAGTCTAATGTTAAACAAAGTATATATATATATATATATATATATAAATGTAAAAACAAAAGAATTTGTCCCTTTATAACACCAATGATCCTCTAGCGACTGAAATTTTTCCATGCTTTAAGAAAGTTATGCATAAAAAATATATGGATAGTGTCAGTTTTCGCAACCTTTGAAAACACTTATGCAATTATGGTCTAGCACTTTGAAACCTCTTACCCAGAAATTTTGCAAGATACAAAACATCCTAAAAGCATTTGACTTGCTACTCTCAACCATCTACATTGCGTCCACTTGATGCATAGGCAAGAAACTAAACACCATATCAGTCAATGTTTTTAGGGATTTTCAGTGTAAATCTGGATGAACAGAAAGTAATCGCAATTTGAAATGCCCATTGCTGATTATGAATGGTCGAGACTTAAGTCCTTCCCCCTTCAAAAAAAAGAAAATGAATAGAAAGAAAACACATAAGTATAGACTGTGTGATGACCAGACTCGTTCCCTTTTTCCCCCTAGTTGGTGGCTTTCTTACCCTATTCAGCTCAGGCACTAATAGAGTCCCCACCAGCGTCCATCTTGAAAATAAAGACTGGTCCAAGAGTAAAAGATCACATTGTGTGCTAATATAATAATCTTGAGGTTTGGATATGAACTGCTAGAAGGTCCATATTTTGCTTACCTGATTATGTAAAATAACACTTGTAACAAGAAAAACATGATCCAGAGTAGGAATCCAAGGTAAATTTTGCAACCAAAGACATGTCTAAGCAAATAACGAAAGATATGAAATCACACTGCGTGCCAATATTATAATCTTCAGGTTAGACAAAGAACTGCCGGTAAGGAGGTCCAAATTTTGCTCACCCGTTCATGTAAGATCCAGAGTAGGAATCAAAGGTAAATATTGCAACCAAAGGCATATCCAAGCAAATAATGGAAGATATGAAATCTCACCAGAATATTGTAGTGGTCAGTCATCATAGCGATCAAACCAGCAGCAGTAGCAATTCCTTCCGGAAGCGACCAGAATATTGTAGTGGTCAGTCATCATAGCGATCAAACCAGCAGCAGTAGCAATTCCTTCCGGAAGCGACAAATATGCCTGAAATTGCAAAACTGTATTTAGCAGCAGTTTAAGTATATGTTTAGATGGTCATACGGCTCGATGATGGCTTAAACCTAACCAGTATTTAACAGCTATAATACTAACCCTCTATGAAAGTGTATCAAGCTCTTACTGAAAGCTAAAAGAATTGGATACTCTTAAATATGAACCTAAAGGCCAAGTGGGGTTAAGAAGACTAGAGACTTGATGTATTGGTAGAGCAAAAAACCCATACAATCTATGAGCGAACTTTGTATTCATCCAAGATCACATGAATTTAAAATTTAGACAAGTTGGGGATGTTAAAGGATTTCCTGAAGCAGCACAAAGTAATATATATACTGAAAGTTTAGATGAATGCACGAGCACCACAGTGTTTCTTGCATATGTCCCTAAAGGCCAAGTGAGATGTCAAGAAGACTTTCCATTCTGGTCAAGTTGTCAAAATGTCTAATCAAGTACCAACCATCCTGTTAGAGTATAAAGTTACCCACAACCTTCACCACAACTTTGGAGTATTGTAGTTGGATGGACCTTTGACATGGTATCAGAGCAACACGTTCAATTCTCACTAGCCATGAATTTAGAAGCGGATTTTAAAATTTTGATACTGTTACATGACGCCAAGTTTATGCCCACAGAAAGGGCGCTCAACTTGCAGGTGTGCGTTAGAGCAAAAAATTACAACCCTCAACCCTCACCAAAACTTTGGAGCTTGGTGTAGTGGTAGAGACCTTTGACACTTCCTATTCATCAGGATTAATAAGTTTTATGCAAAAAAATTTGCAAATACAACAAATTTTCTGAGCAACAAGACGTGAAGTATCTCACTAAATGTTACACAAAGCACTAAATATAGCTTGTCAGTGAAAAGAGCACTCTGACCTTGTTCATATTGTAAAGAGCTTCAACCATATCTGATGATCTATTCCGAACTGTACCAGACACCTGGATATCCAAATGAATAAATGATTGCATTACATTAGGGAGACCTGTGACTACATTATTGCTTGCAGGTATGCTGTTAACTAAAATACTTTTAAATCAAAATCAAGCCTCCAACAATGAGGTAACCTTTCTCCAATCCTTGCCATGTTTCCGATAAGCTTCATAGAACCGCTCAAGCTCCTCTTTGCTCCATTGAGGCCCAAGCATGTCAGATAATTTCTTTTTCTGTGAATGTGAAAAATGCCAAGAAAATGTGGAAAGTTAGCAAACAACTTCTGTATTAATTACAAGACGATCAGTTTTAGAAAATAGAACTTGGAGAATAATATTATGTGCAATAGATCATTGAGGGAATAAGGCGTAGAATGATTCATCTCATCTGAAAAAAATTAAAGGCCAACAATGCGAAACAACCATTCAAAAGATGAACAATGAATCAAAGATCCAACAATAGGCATTTTCCTTGATTATTGAACAAATTAATCACAAAAGAAACCCAAAATTTTGCCAATATAACAAAAGTACTTACGCGTGGCCTATTTTTATTCGCATTTGTTGCATCTTTATCAGTCCATTCTTCATTTATTTTAGCAAAGCGCTTGTTCACGCCTCTAGATTTTCTGGTTGAAGCCATTAAAACTTCTTCACCTGCATAAGTATGAAAATGTGATACACCATCATATATCATGTCACTAACAAATGCACATCAAAGGTTTGCAAAAAGAGAAGTATTCCGAGATGAAGCTATAAGAAAGAGATTACTAATAAAATATAAAAGACCATATTCAAAACTCATGAGGTAAAACCCCTTCCTTCAATATGGAAACTGATACGAATTTTAAATAAAAAAACAAAGGGCAAGGAGAGCAACCACTTCCTTCAAGCATTTTCGGTCACTTACAGCAAACAACAGCAACAAATAGATTTGGTATTCCAACAGCTAATAGAACGTTTGAAATCAACTGTCATTTACCAAGTGCACAATGGATCCCCAGATTAGTTAATAATACTACTGGCAGATCAAAAAGAAAAAAAATTGTTAACTAATCTTTTTGTTTCAGGCATATTTCTTGGCAGCACCATGCCATAGCTTTAAGAAGAGGAAAAAAATAAACAACAAATTTAGAATCCACACAATTTAAAAAAAAATAGTAGAAGCAATCAACTGAAAATAAACTGATTCAAAAAATAATAATAACAGCCTCGACAAAATAAAACCCTTTCAAAAATTAAATTCCATCATAAAAAATTCCATACAGGTTTCCTAAAGATCGAGCTCCAAATTTCCACTTCATACCCTAAACCCCAGTCCTTAGCAAAAGTCAAAATCAAAGAACACATTCGAATCAACTCATCAAGGGTTAGAGTCCTGCAGACCGAAATCGACTACAGTCATCCATTCCTAGTTTAGATAAAAGGAATTTCTGCTCCCTATTCTGATCGGGCTTCGATCTATTAGTTTAAAAGAACTGATCTAACTGATAAATGGAAAGATCGAGATTCAACTTACTTTCTAATCTCGCTCCAGGTGCCCTTCGATTATTGAAACCCTCGTCGCTTAAAACTGCAGGAAATCAAGAATTAGGGCAAAATTAGAACAAAAGGAGAGGAATCAAGAACAAAAAGGGGGAGAGGGTGAATTGAGCAGAACTAACGATTAGAGCTAGGGTTTTGTGTAGCGGAGTGAAGAAGCAGAAGAAAAAATAGAGAGAGGAGCTGGGGGATGCTGAATATTCTCGGGGATTTTGGAGAGAGATTTTGGAGGTTTTGAAGAAAAGGGAGGGATGAGGGAGAGAGCAGTGGACGCAGGTTGGGGGTGGCAACTGCGGCTTTTTAAATATGGATCCTTGAATTTGGCAGAAAAATACAAATAGGTTTGGATTCTTGTAGATCTAAATCCGATAACCCGATAGTGTAACTTTTGTTTGGGGTTTTGCATAAATACCTCTCACAAATGTCATATTTGCAAAATTATCCTCCTCATCTTGGTAATTGCAAAATTACCCCAATTCTCTCAAATCAATTTTTTTCCTACCCCTTTCACTTGGCAATCTTAGTTTTTAAACGGAAAATTATCACAAACCTGTTGGAAATTATTAGATATTTCACCATTGCCTTCTTTGAAAACCAATATCCTTAAGTTAGAGCGGTAGAAAGACCCAATATGCTTTGACAAGTAATTTTACAAATATCAAGATTTAAGGGCTAAGTTTGCAAAAATTAAAGATTTCAGCGGTATATATCTAAAAAATTCTTTTTTTAGGTTTTAAGCCTTGAAGTGGCAAGTTTTTTTCCCTTTTAATAACCTAGCTACAATTGAAGCTTAGACCGTGAGGGTCATAGTGGGCCTACTCAATCATCTGAATCAACTGTCGTGGGCCTATGGGCTTATGTTGATGATGTTTAATATTAAAATTTATATTTTGAAAAAAAGAGCAAAAATGGTAGATTTATTAGTGGCTTTAAATATTTGAACTCCCATGTGAACCATAATTTTCACTATAAAGTAATTTAATAAATTATTGCATTACTTTATAATTAGTATAGTATTGTATTTATATTGTGTAAAATTATTATGAATAACAATAGTTATAAAATGGGATAATGATTTATTATATTATTCTTAATTAATTTTTTACTATTTATAGTTGTTAAAATAATGTATGAATGAATTATAATAATATCCAAATTATAATTGTTGATGTTAAATAATCAAGCAGTCAAATATATGGTGGGGGTGAAATTGATTAGGGGCCGCTCACTTCTCTGAATATCTAGTTTTGAGTTGAGTAGCTTCGGTCTGCACAAATAGCAACTCGTGAGAGGACGGGACTTAGTTCCCCTGTTGCACCTCCGATGATCAAGTCAGCTGATGAACTTGGATGGGAAAATAAAGAACTGTATGAGTTCTTTTGTGTATTGTAGTATAATTATCAGATATAGCTTGGAAAATAACCTAAAATTGCCTAGAAATGACGTGGCCTGAATCCCCCCTCTAGGGGTACTAAACTGTATCCGTATCTGAGAAAATATCTGTAATCGTATCTATTATGATACATATATGGTTACTCAAATCTATAACCGATAGGTTATAGTTACAGATATAGTTTTACAGTGAAATATCTGTATCCGTATCCGAAATATCCGAATACATATTAGTCATACTCTTACGATAGTTTTGATTTTTAGATTATGGATTTGTGGTTAAATTTGATAATCAAGATGTCTAATTTTAGTTTTTCAATTATAATGAACATATTAACGAACTCTATTGCATCACATGAACTATATTTTTCTAAATACTATCTAGCTTTCTCATACCCGTTTTGTATCCCTCATGCATATCTGCTTATATATCTGCATGTCTATCCGCAAACCGCATTCGATTTTAGCGGATATGGATATGAATTTTTCTTACCGAGATGCATCTGTATCTATATCTGTATCTAGGGGTGAGCACGGTTCGGTTCAAACCGAAAAAACCGACCGAACCGACCCGAACCGACCCGAAAAAAGCGGTTTTATGAGTAAGGCGGTTCGGGTCGGGTTGACAATTTTTCAAACCGACCCGACCCGAACCAACCGAATATATTCCCTTGCCTCAAACCCTACCCGTTTACCTGTTTACCCAAAGACAAAGCAAGTCCGTTACTAAAAAATTACAACGTCAGAGTCTAGTATTTAATCCAAAAAGACAAGTTACTTCACTTAAAAACAGTATACATACATGAGCAAGAATAATAAATTGAAGTGAAGTTAAAAAATAAATGCATGCTGGCATAGGGTAATAAGAATATATAAAAGATAAATTGAAGTGAAGTTATACTTGATGAAGTTAGAACCGAACAAACCGAACCGAACCGTACCGAACCGATTTGCAATGGTTCGGTTCGGTTTTGAATTGTAGGTGGTTCGGTTCGGTTGTTCAAATTTTGGTAAAAAACGACCCGAACCGAACCGTGCTCACCCCTATCTGTATCCGAGTTGAGTAAGCGGATATGAATATGGTAAACATCATATCTGAACCATATCCAGACCAAATGCACCCCCCAAGAAGTCCCCATCATGTTGAGAATAGTATCTCTATTTATAGTTATGTTGAAGGGGTAGAACGGTCACTTCGGCCGAGCACAGGATGACGGTAAATAAATATGATCTGGTTGCTGTGTCAGCGCCTACTTTACAGGTGTCAGCTGATGAGTGGAGGAGAGATTACCTCATCATTTTAATACGAAGTGATTGGAGGCATGGCGGTACTGTTGTGGTGGTCCGATGAGTCATGAAGACTATCGACGCTAGAGGTATGATGCGCTTGCCAAGCATTAAATGCGATGTTGACGCGTTGTTAGCGGGAGAGGCTCGAGGAGAGGTATGATGCGCTTGCCAAGCATTAAATGCGATGTTGACGCGTTGTTAGCGGGAGAGGCTCGAGGTTGAAGTTGTCCTTTGGCTTGGCCGAGAAGTAACGTCTTTCAAGTCGACCCCGCGAGGCGTCGAATAACTGGTCGAGTAGGCTTGTGACGAATCGTATTCGATGAGAGAACCGACAAGTGTCGCCCTTCGAGTCGACCTAAGGAGATGTCGACTTGGCGAGTCGGCTAAGTCGGGATCCTTGGTTGCCCTGATCGTCAATCTGGTTTGAGCGGTGCATGTAAGGGGACACTTGTCCGTTATGGCAAAGGGTCGTATTTTGGCGACTGAAAACACCATAACAATAATAACTCCTCATACAATTCTTTATTCTCAATTTTAGAGTTAGCTTTCATTTATTGACAAAAACTAAATTTTTATAATTTAATTTACATTGTTATAAAAGTCACTTCAAATGTTGTGTAGTTTATTTAATATTATACCACTATAATTACCAAAATAAATTACAAATAAATTATAGTAATATCCAAATTATAGTAATTCCTCATATAATTCTTTATACACAATTTTATTGTAAGCTTTCATTTATTGACAAAGAAATAAAATTTTATAATTTAATTTACATTGTTATAGAAAGTCGCTTTATTATTTTACAGTCAACGCAAAAATGTTCAAAATACAAAAAGTAACATGTGCAAAGCACGCGTACTATACTAGCTACATAGCAAAGGGTGCTCTAGAGCCCCTTTCTTCAAAACAGTCAATGTAGTATGTGCAAGAACTGAGCAAATTTGGCAATCTTTTGGCTTGAATACTGACGAACACTAATTCTCATGAGCGTCATAGAAAGGATAATTACCAATGTAGGAAGGGGGGGAAACGTTCAACAGAAGACAATATAAACAACCAAAAAAAAGCAGCAGTAAACTCGCAATCTTCCATTGTTACCTGTTGTATGGCCTAATTTGGACTTCAAACAACGGACGTGAGACGTTGGAAAACGAACATGGGCTTGGTCTGTCCCTTAAAACGGGCTGCCTGCTATACTAGGCCTTTCACGCATTTTTCGTCATACGATGCCCAACTCCAAAGTAATGAAAATCTAAATTCAGTCATGATTCATTCACAGCCCTTAACAATAAAAGGAAAAATACATGTATAACAAAGATAGAAAATATCTAGAAGATTGCAGAAAATATATCTAGAAGATTGCAAGTGTGTACGTCGGCTGATCGATGAAGGGAAATTCTTTACAAAAGCGAAACCAAAACGAATTTTTTCATCAACGTCAAGTAACCTAATGATTTGTTTGGGAGTTTACTATAAAAGATTGAAAGTTAAATAATAGAAAGGAAATATACATAATGGAAGTGAAAAGATAAAATGTTATTTGGGAGTTTAGTAAAAGGGGAGAGGAAGTAAATTTGTTTTACATTGTTTGAAAGTTCAAATAAAGAGGAGGAAAGTGAAGTGCATATATACAATGTTACATAAATACTCTTATATATTGGATGAGAGTATATCTTAGTCATTGATTTTAATGTCATAAGGGTATAATTGTCTTATCGCATTCTAAAATTTTATACTGGTTTTCATTCCCTGTTCTACCCTCTGAATTGTGGGGAAGGAAAATGAAAGTAAATTTAACCTTCCATTCCATCTTTTAACCCCTCAAAAAAAAAAAAAAACCAATCAAGAAGAAATTAAAATTTTATTTTAACTTCCGTCCATTACCCTCCGTCCAAATAAGGTGTAAGTAATCTGACATGCTAATCAAATTCAAAAGCTTGAATGTGTAAGCACATGGATCAATCAAAAAGAAGAAAAAAAAAACTAACAACATAAGTTTGAGCTCTTAAAATATTAAGATAGACCAATATTACAACACTCGGTTTTATAGCAGATACTTTTTTTGTAATCAATATGCCCTAGCTACCTTCGGGGGAAAACGTAAGCATTCTTGAGAAAATAAAACCATGCAAAAACAACGAAGTAATTAATTCGTGTGTGATCACTCTAAGCCTCTGAGCTAGACTGAAAATATCTATATCTATAATCTATACTATGATAAGGAGAGGATTTGACTATTAAAATTTTTAATTTCTTTTTTTGTCTTCTCAAATTTTGATAAATTCTAACTATGTCGTTATTTTTAATTAATCTTTTATTAAATAAATATAACATCTTATTAATTATGCACTTCCTCACTTTTCTAAATAACTATAATTATCAAAAATAGTATAACTATTAATTGTTTAAATAAAATAATTTATAAAATAAGTATACACAATTATTAGTGGTAATCAATTAAATTATTATAATAATATGAATTATAATAAAATAATTAAAATAATAGTATAAATAGAATACTTTATTACTAAATACTATTAAGAATTGTACTATAATTCAATAAATAATAAAATAAATAGAATAAATATTAAATCGCATA